AAATGAGAACAAAGGGAAGGTTGAAGAGTGTTCGGTAAAGGAAATTGGATACTTCCATTCGGGAGTATCCGACTTCTTCAGGTGCCTCAGAGAAAGAACACCAGTGTAGATGGTAACAAGCCATGAGGGGATGGCCTGATCATCGGATTCACCAATCTAATTCAGTGTTAGACACATCTCAGTTAAGTTCATTTGGACAAGAAGGCTAAACGTTGTGATGAAAGGCCATCATCATTTACTTGCAAATAACTTTGCCCACAAGGTATGCAAACACACTGTCAGATGGGAGTGTTATGGCAGTGAATAGAGCTTTCAGCATACTGCAAAGAAAGTTATAACCATCGGAGGTAAAACTGAAGTTTATGATACTCTATGTACAAACTCTGGACTGGAGAAGAATGTGATGCAGAGGATCCAACTTCTTCAGTGTAGAGACCCATAGCACAGCTTTTTTGACTGAATTCGCAAGAAAACTTGAGTAAAGAATACCCATAAGCTCCCAAAGAAATGGATGATATGATGTATAGAATATTAATTGCTCTTGTAACACTGGATTTTAAGTTGCTTGATATGAGGAATGAAATTCGGTTTGTTCACAAATAGAAGTCCTAAGAACTTTGTCTCAGCTATCATCAGGACCGCGCACCTCCCAGTGGAGGCTCAGATGAGAGTGTAATCCCCGTTGGTAGCAGGAATGGGTGTAGACGATTTTAGATGATGGAAATTTATAAGTGTTTACAGTGGTCAACTCATACGATTTATTAATAATGGTTTGGAAGTGCCACTCAATGTACCTCACATTCATTGTCCGACAGGAAACTTGCACATCATCAACATTTAGGCTGTTTACAACTATGCAGTAGAAAGTTGTTGAGTGATGGTATCAATCTTAATGCTAAAAAGTATGACACTCAAGACTTAACCATTAGGTATTGTAAGTTCCTATATAACAAATCGGTATAACATTGATCACATACATATTTGTTACGATTTCTATGCCAAAACAAGCAATTATAGATAAAGTGCTACGCAACCCATAACATTTAATGTTATGTAACATACTGAACTTCTATGTAGTATTATAGGCTTTCTCAAGATACAAAAAGATCAAAACAATATGATCCCTCCTGAGAAAGGTTTCTTTGACTTTCGTTTCAAGTTGAATAAGGTGGTTCATCGAGGATTGCTGTCTATGGGAATCATTCTGGGTGAGAAGCAGCTGTCTGATTCGAGGAACCAAACAAATTGAACGTTAACTATCCTCCTCAAGACCTTACAGAAACAGCTAGTTAAAGCAATTAGAAGAAATCTTGAGATTATTCCGAAGCTTAGGAATGGCGCCACAAATTAATTACTCCTCCTACAACCAAATTCAGTTCAAAACAACTAAAAGAAGACCAAGAATAGCAGGAGAGAAAGAGATGGTTTAGTATCTCATAATGGATGTCTTCTGGTCTGACTGATGTAGAGGAAGTTTAAGTTTCATTTAAGTAAATGGTTATTTATAGTCATAAAGACAAATGTGGGCTAAAAATTAGGGTTATTTTGGCCCATGTCTTGATGGCCGAGAAGGCAGGGTAACAAATGGAGGTGCTTGAATGGTAGGAATAACACTCTTCAATAGCATTGACAATACCCTCTATGTCAGCTACTTTATGTCCATTGAGTTGCAAGTTCTTGAGTATGGAATGTATACTTCTCCTTCACTTTTCGAATCTTGTCTCAAACGACCTCGGAACAAATGTTGAAAAATATGCTGGAAGTGAAATCAATCCAACATTACCTCTGGCATTGACATCTGATCTACCATGGACGAGGATACCTTGAAAAATGATCGAGTTTTTAGGGATGGTATATACAGCTGGACTACATGATTGGTTACTGACTTTTGAAGGCAGTAACACTTGGTTGATTAACGACAACGGGATCAGACTCAGAGAGAGTGGCTATTAGAAGCCAGTCGGCCTTCTCCAGTTCCCACTGAGGCATACAGATTGAGTGCCAATGACTGTGCCTCAGAATGACGTTAAAATAATCCCTGCCTCGTGGTTCATCAAGACTGCTTGATCAACTTCATATCTGGGTAACAGGCAAAGAGTGTATATTATGATGATCTAACCACCAGCGGAGACACAGACTGCAATAGCCTTCAGTTGCGTAGTAAGTGAGACAGGCATGGGGGGGGGGGAGTATGCTGGCTAACCAGCAATGCTACTCCCCCAAGAAAACAAAAATCACATAACCTGTCCTTACACATTAAAAAATTGTCGAATGGAAATAGAAAAGGTAGGTTTCAGAAATATATCTTTTATATAAATTGGTTAGAGATTTATTACCAACTAAGTTAGAAAGAAAACAACAACAATTCAATGCATAAAAATGTCCAGTTTTACCTAGAACATTGAGTAGCCCTAAAGGAAAACCTTTAAGAGGTATATCCTTTTAGCTTCCCACTTTATTTTCTTTTTCCATGGAAGGTCGATACATCTTCGTGGACTCCACCAATAATGGAATTGGCAGTGCAACATCACTCTAAAGAGAAACGATGAGACCATACTGGACTGGACTCGATTGCTTTAGAGTTTGGCAAACAGGCAAACAAATTGGTGTAAAGGTCGATTTCTCCCTTGGGCAGTCCACGGAGGAAGATAGAGTCTTAACATAGGACGAAATAACCTCAAAAGGGGAACAGAATATAGGTGCTTGTAACCTAATTGATGTAGAGGAACATATAGCAGAAGCATAACTGTACTTCAAAACTGCTTCACCTGTTGCACGTTTTCCTCATTCTTTTACTTTGGACAAGGCCTAAAATAAGAAGGGCGAGTGCTTTGACAGTTTAAAAAAGCAAGGCTCATACATACATACATACAATACTGTCTTTGTTATTATCACACAATGTGCAAATACAGGAGAACCCAACAAAAGGTATTTGAATGACCAAATACCTGGTAGGTGAAATTTATGAGTAGATTTGTGATATATGACTGCATAAAACAATTAAAATATTCATTTTTGTGTTGACAGGGAAGCAAAGAGAAGAAAACATAAAAATAAGAAGCCTGGTAAATTGATATTTCTCATTCTTAAAACAAAAATCTGCCAGACAGTAGTAACCCTCTGATATTTCATCTCATGGAAAAATTCACTGTGTTCTAAGAGAACCTGGATATGAGCCTTTTCCAAGAGCTTTGTGTTACAAAATCAGCTCACAGTCTTTTGATCTAAATGTTTCAACAAGAATATCTACCATTAAAGATTTGTAACTCATTGAGGGTAACCAGCCAACCCTCTAATATTTTTTTTTCCAAATAAAAGATGACATTTTACCCAAACTATAGTCATATAATGAATAAAAGATGAAAAAATGACGCACAGGCGGTTTAATAGATGAAGGAAAATCGTCAATAAGTCATTTTTTCAATTACCATTTTAGTGATTAGGTGTAAAATTAGATACGATATAAAAAGAAAAGTTGGTGTTATCTGACCCCACCCATCATGAAGCCCTAGAATTGTTCTACATTGTAAGAAGCTCCACATTTTGAGGACAGTGCATCAACACTAGGGTTTCAATTGGCATTATACCCGAACTCCGGTACCAGATACAATCTCCATAATCACTTTTGAAAATATCTGACACTGCACTCAGCGACCCTTTCGACTATTGACCAATCAAGTAATCCTGGAGGTACCACCCTAAGGCTTTCTATGTACAGGTATTCAAGGCTAAAAACGTTATCTGTAAATAACACATACATATACAAAAATATTAGATTCAGAAAATTTTCAAAGGTTATGGCTAATTTCTATAACCGTTAACTTTGTACAAGATCATAAATAGGGAGGTGTGTCGACACCCTCCTACGTAAGCTTCAAGGCTTTTACTATTAAATCCAAACCAACAGATGGCGCAACAAATACTGGAATAGACCTGGAAGATTCAGACCGTTATAAAAAAACAAAAAAAATACTTGTATTGGAAGTCGAAACGTCGAGCTGTTTAATTAATTGTGATAAAATCCTTTATGGCTCAACATTTGAAAAATCTAAACAGAAAAAAAGCATTTAAAATGCAATAAATATATATGTTTAATATAAGTTATCTGAATTAATGAATTTGTTTCTAAAATAATACTTTTTCGGTCTTTAGGATAATTTTTGTCAAGTTTGCAATTTTTTTTTCAGAATTCTCAGTTTCCTAAGTGTATATAAAGCACAATTATCATGTATCCTGTTTTCAATAGTCAATGTGTGAATCCTGATTGACCATGATAGTAAAATAAAGTTAGTAATGTGGTAAATACAACATTGGTTTATATCAAGTCTGAATCAATGCATGTTTTTTTTTACACTATTTCATTATCATTAGATAAGATCTTGGATTAACAGGATAACTCGTCAAATGTGAGGCAGTGTGAATTTTGTGTGTAAAGAAAGATTAATAATGTCTGGTTTTATGTGAATATGGTGTTGTAAACTAAAAAGAAAAGGACATTTCAAATATATTCATATAATTCTTTCAAACATCCAATTTTTTATTATTCTAGTAATTGTCAAGGGTGTTAATCTGCTAATATAAAATTATATTGAACTGTTTTTGACACCAATAAAATTATTTTCACTTTGCTTGTTAAAGATTACATATTTCGTTCTTATCTTGTTTTAGTTTGTAATGTCCAGGAATAGCAAGAGGGTTGGTAGTGGCGTCATCACGTATACGTGCATGCACTATCTGTTACCGCCACAAATTCAATTATATTAATTTTTATTCAAGGTTTATATGAAGAATTATATAGCTACAATCTTAAATAGCTCTGAAAGCCAACCTGGCAAGATAGAAGACCATAAATAAAATATTTCATATAACCAACCACACTACATACCAGATATTACAATCTTCCAACCTCTGTACATTCAAATTAATTAAATTTTGTAAATAATGGATTTTTTTATGTGAACATCTAGAAAACTATTGTCAATACGATTCATAACAAGCCTAATTTAAACATGCTAAAAGTATCGGTAATTTTTTTGCCTAACAGCAAATTAGTATTAAAATTCTCCCAGTTTATTGAAAATAACAAATTCTTTAAGATAAAATTTCTTTGTAATAATTTCCAACAAAATATAGATGATTAATTCAACAAACGGCTTATTTCAGTCCAATGGTCGAGAAGCTCCAATAATTGCTGACCATTTGGTAAAATGTTGTCCAATAGAAAGAGCTCTCTTGTCATGATTATTACCATTATATACACAGTGAAATAATATCTCATAGAGATTACAATCGTGAACAGTGACTTGAGAGTTCATAAAACAGGATGTATGCGTTAGAAGATACTACGCGTTTGGAAGATACCTTGGAAACCCTGCAATAAAACGAAAAGCACATGTCATTGAAAACAATTTACCAGTCACTAATCTCTATACGAAAGATTTATATTACAATGTTGAGAAGAATGACAAATAAGATTAACTGACAGAAACCAATTACATCATACTGTTTGAGTTTTCTTATTGTATATTCTCATTGCTAGATTTTTTACTGTGCTGCAGAGATTCAAAAGAACATCCAGATTTGGTGTTATAATTTATTACTTTAGCAGGACTGTCTCTACTTGCTTCTAAATAAAATAATAATCCTAAAATAGTTTGTTACATCCTTCATTTCGACCCAATCTTCTATACTAGATGGGTTATGCATTATTTGGTTTGTAAAAATACAAAACAAAAAAGTTTTTAACGACTCGCAACTATAGTTCGGCGGTGTGCGTGAGGCCTAAAACCAGGTCAATACAGATCTGTGTAAAAACACTTAACATTGCGTTAATACATACAATGAAATAGAACACGGGCAATAATTAAGGGAACACATCTACAAAAAATTCCATTTAAATAAAACATTAAAAGCTTCTTACAGCCTTCCTATTGGGTAATTAAATGTATCAATAGACAGGACCAGGACTTGTAGCCTCATATGTACAAATATAGATGAAAGTAATACAATAAACTATTGTTGAAACACGTGTAACTTACTTTGTATCATTAAACTGATGCCACTCTTCAGTATATGGGTGTCGACAGACTGCCGTGTAGTGTCCAGAATCGCCAGATCCACTGTGATTAGCCACAGCGTAAAGATTGTACATCGGAATGTAGGAAACTGCAAAGTAAGTTAAACTTAACACGTGAATAAAGAAAATCTCCCGCGAAACTAATTACTTATGAACATTTGAAACATCTGCATACCTGTGATAAATTTTTATCAGAATAACTGTAACATTACATGGTTGTGATCAATGTCCCTATGATATAACATGTACACTTTTGCAATATATAACTTCAGAATAATTAAAAGATATACACATTAGTGATCAATGTCTTTAGGATTAATGGAACGTGTGGCCACTTTTGATCAATGCTCTAGGGATAAGTATAACGTGAACGTGTGTATATATATATATGATCAGTGTCCTAGGCATAACTGTAATGTGTACACAGTTTTAATCCATGTATTCAGAATAAGTTATAAGACTTGTATACTTTTTATCAATGTTATTAGAATACCAGTTAAATAATTCAACATGTGATCAATGTTTGTAGAATAACTAGATTATTTATACATACGTAATCAATGTCTTCGCTATGATGCTAGTATGTCCAAACTTTACGATAAATATAAAATGTATATTTTAATGAACATCCTGTTAAGATACCCATCACCCCTCTGCTCAATATTAATCAGTTACTCTCATTAGCATAAACCAAAGACAAACAATTATTTTCAGAGGTAAGTATATATGTACTTATATATATATATAGAGTGCTACAGAATAACTCTTTAAAAGTTAAATCATATAGAGTTAAATAATTACAAATAACCAAACCAGGAAAGTATGAAGTAAAAAAACAACAAAATAAAAAGGAAATAACAGTGCCCCGATAAGAATGAGGTAGAGACGCATTGGATTAAGAAGTAGGAAAAGTGTTGAAAGTGAAAGATGCATCAAAAAAGTACAAAACATCTGAACAACGACAACCTACTGAAGATAAAAAAAAGGCACAGAAATGGTACAAAAAACAACAACAAATATACCGGCAAAACAGAGAAAGAAATATATGAAAGTTAATTAGGGAAATATCTATAAAGTTGAATTAACAAATTATAGCTCATATAAGTAAATCATGTTTCTAAGTACATTACTTTAAAATGATAAGTTAGAGAATATATACATCTGGCTACTCATTTGATAAAACTTCCAGGATAATTTGAATTTCGCGCAAAGCTACACGAGGGCTATCTTAGCAGTGAAAGACTAGAAGGAAGGCAGTTAGTTATCATCACCCACCACCAACTCTTAGACTACTCTTTTACCAACGAATAGTGGGATGGACCGTCACATTATAAATGCCCCACGGCTGAAATGGCGAGCATGTATAGTGGGACAGGGATTCGAAACCGCGATCCGCAGATTGCGAGTCAAGCGCTCTGACCACCTGGCCAGGTGAGAGACTTCTAGGATTCAGGTATAAATATTAATGACCAGAGAGAGAAGGCAACTTTCGAGAAACACCCGCCGCCACAAAAGCATTATCCAGTTCTTTGAATCAAAGAACGGAAATGCCTGTCTCTTTTATAACGCATCCACATCTGATAATGCGAAGCACGCTCAGAAGCATTACGTTTCGAATGCTGAACCCTTTGATACTTAGCCTGACATGTTAACCACTATGCCACGCCTAGCCTGGATAGTTAAAATGTCCGGATAATATATATATGCTTAGGTATATTTGTGTATGAAGAAAGATTTATAATACAAAAACTATTTCAACGAGTATAACATGTCAATGTAAAATGCAATTTTTTGGTTATCTTAAATTCAACAAAATAACTACAGATAAAAGATAGGCGTACTGATTACTGTGCCAGTACAATGTGAAGTAAAATAAATATATTTAAGGAGTTAGATAGTATGCACAGATTCATGGTTCAAAATCTGTTACCAGAGAAACGAACTCAGCGCTTTTGGATTGTGGGTACGATATAAGGTGGTCAAATCCTATTATTCGATCAGACAAGAGTGGTCCAAGAATTGACGATGGGTGATGTTGACTAGTTGCATTCTCTCTAGTCTATCAGTTTGAAATGAGGGGTGACTAACATTAAAAGTAAAATAACCAAAGATCACTTTTAGGATGCATATAATCGATTATGCGCAACTAAAGTTTTGAGCTTATTTATTTTACCAACAAATCTTACCACGTTCTGATGCAAAAGGTCGAAGATTGAAGTTTTTCAGTGGATACTCTACGTTTGCGGTGAATTCTTTTGGTTGATTTTTCCCAGCTAAAGAAAAGCGTTTTATGTCTACGTAATTTATCAAGGAATTTAAGTATGCGATATTATACCTTTTAAATTGATTTCAAATAAACTGGAAACTGTGCAAACTGCTTTCTAAAATAACTTCTACTAGATGTGTTTATCTAAGATTTTTAAGCTTGGAAATGTTTTGAGAGAATTTAAATAACTAGATCTATGTTTAATTTTGACACTATGCTACTATTTTTACCTGTAACCCTAGAGTTGGCCAAGGTAACTAATGGTAATGATAATTGTACCTCATTTTAAACGAAGAATATACTTTGTGTGAATTTTTTAGCTTGTTTTTATCTTATGTAAACCTAAAGTAGATCGGTAACACCTTTCAAATAGAACAAGAGTAATGTTATGGTACTTGTGTTAAGCATAGTGTTAAAAAAAAGAATTAAGCTGCTAAATTTATAAGCTTAAAAACTATATACATATTTTTCAATTGTAACCACAAACATGAAACTATTAATTTAACCTGCTAATTACTACGTGTTGGCCAATAAATTAATTAACACTGACTAAGAATAAGAAAAATTAAAATTTGTTAATTATTTTGTATTTTTAGATATTGCAACATTATAGCTGCATCAGTTTTTGTTTTACTTGTGCCAATCGTTTTGTCGTACAAAATCAATTTGTTGGTGCCGCCACCTATTGGGCACTTCGGTAAAATCTGTTTCATTCACTGTGGAATAAAAGATTCTTATATCTATATTTAATATACATTTACGCACTGTAAACGTGTTAAAAATCGTGGGAATGACCAAACTTTACCATATCCTATTTTCAATAACAACTGAAAAACATATTTCATAGCTTTTGTATTAAACAATGCACATATTGTTAAATACTATAAAATACTTACTTATATTTAAAAGAAATGTTACTATTATTTGAGGATTTTATTCCAAATTAATAAACAAAGCCACAATAACCGCAGTAGAAAAGGATACGAAGAACAAGAATCTGAGGAAACTTGTGAATGGAGAACCTTTTGGAACACCTCTGTCTTGTTTTACATTGGGAGCAAGTCTAGAAAATATTTATAATAACATGAATTTTTCCCTCTAAATAACAGAAATTTTCCAGCTAGTGTCATTCATTTAGTTGAGATAAAATTTTATTTATGTAAATATAAACTGCTAGTTTAATATTATTTTGACGTAAGCCTAACTTCGTTGTTCTGTATTTTTTACCTGTCCCTCGGTGTGACAGCCATAAGTTTACAGACTTACAATGCTAAAATCCAGAGTTCGATTCCCCGCGATGGACACAGCAAATAGCCCAATGTGGCTTTACTCCAAAACAAACAAACTATATTTTTTAGTCATCTATGGTAGTACCCGAGCCCTAGACATTACTCTTCTATAATTTAATAAATTTATCAAAATGTATATACATTCCTAAGGAAAAGTACTTCCATTGTAACCTACATAAAGAAAGCGAACATTAGATAAATATTCAGGTTAACGGAGTCATGTTATACAATTAAACTTCATTAAAACGTGTGATTAGAAAATTATCCAAAGATCAACCGTTCTTCAAGCAGTTGAAATAATATCTGTAAACTTTAACAGTATTTGTATTATTAAAGCTTATATCGACAGTTTAATAGTCATAAGCAAGGAACTTGTCAAAGTTCAGAAATACGTGCTCTGAGTCATCCCAAATTATTATCTAAAAGTATCAAGAGATGGCGCAACATACCTTACAACGATAAACGGGTAATATTATATAGATCTGAAGAAGTGAATAAAAAAACAATAAAAAGCAGGAGTATGGTAAGACTAACCTATTGGATTTTAACTTATAGTTACCGTCAAACTATGCCAGTTTTCAATCACTCCCTTTAAAACTGACTCGTAAATACCAAATAATATATCTTATTTATTCTTACCAAAAATACCTATAGTATTCTGTAATATTTTAGAAATATCAGTATCAGAGTAATTTCAACTTTTGTTCTACTTGATAAGTGACGTGAAAAAAATGGGCTGTCTGGCATTTTGCTGTCACTAATGCTTTTTTCTGTTCTCACAGTTTTTTATTTTATCTGTTACATAGGTACTCATTAAATGCCCACTCATCTGTTAGAAAAAAAGTAAAACAACTTACTGGTTTTTCATCTCCGTCTAGAAGTTCCTCCTTCGTGAACAAATCCAAACATTGCTGTATAGAAACCTTGTTAAATCCCTGCAACAAGGAAACCATATCCACATTAAACTAAGAGAAATTGCTTCCATTGTATTAGCATCGGTTTATTATTTATTAAAAGTTATGTACAGAATAAAGAAATCTGTAAATAATTTCGGAGTTAAAATTCATCACGTCTTTAGTACTTGTTCTTTGTCCTCTGGGCGCATTTTGTCTAAGTTGCAAAAAACTAACTCAAAGATTCATAACTTTTTAAACATTTTAAAACACTAGTTTTAAGAACAAATCTTACTTAAGCATCTATTTGGTCGACAACTTTTTACGAAATAGTTGAACTTACAGCTGTTATTCAATGATTAACACGTTTGTGTTAATATGCTACTTTATTTATACCTTAGGAATGGATACAGAGAGATCCCAGAAAGGGTCAAAGGTTACAGATGCGTGCCCACACACTAAACATTGAAGCGTACTTCTCAGTTGACCAAGAAAGATGTCTATACAAATAAAAAACAAAAATATGTATCCATGTTCTACAGTTAATTGTAACAAGTTCTAGAAAATACATTTTCAATGCTAAATGCCATTTGTTTTCAGTTGATTAATCTTTTCTTGAGCATCCTTCTGAAATTCACTACTTTTATTTTAAAAATTTGAACAGTAATTTAAGCATTAATTTTACGTTTACTTAAAATAGCAGTTGTACTATTAATTGTTTTTAAAACAGCTAACCAAAAATGTAAAAGTATTTTAGTTTTACCAGAATTATAGAAATGTGAGCCAGTAAAGCAAATACTTGAAATAAAATTAGAAATGAATATTTGTTGTATTGCCTACCTATGATTTTACTGTTGTCATTCCTTAAATATCTTTGACATGCTTCAGTAGATTTCTGAGATTCGCTGTTAAAGACATGACGATAAACAGACATTAATATTTATAAATTATAAATCTATAATTATATTTTACAAACATGGAAACAACAGTTGTCCTTATTCTATCAATATGTTTAACTAATGTATTACAAACAAGAAAGAACAATTGTTTTTTTATTCTATCAACACGTTTAATTATTGTTTTAGACATATAGAAACAACAGTTGTCCTTATTTTATCAATATGTTTAACTAATGTATTATAAACAAGAAAGAACAATTGTTTTTTTATTCTATCAACACGTTTAATTATTGTTTTAGACATATAGAAACAACAGTTGTCCTTGTTTTATCAATATGTTTAACTAATGTATTATAAACAAGAAAGAACAATTGTTTTTTTATTCTATCAACACGTTTAATTATTGTTTTAGACATATAGAAACAACAGTTGTCCTTGTTTTATCAACACATGTACCTTAAGTGGCATTAGTAATCTTTAGTTTTGATGTATATAGGTCTATGTTTTTAAACCTTTCCTACTATAGAGATGATTTTATTGTGTATAAAGCGTCCTTAAAATCATAAACTTGAACTATATATTACATAGAGTAACAATTTTGCTTCTGATTGTTTTTTTAAACGAATATAAGTATTTTTATTATAAACTTTATATAAAAGACCTGGTAAATCAACATAACTTAAATACTGTCTAAAAAGAAAATAGAATATCAAAGCTTCCCCCCAATCCACAGTAGTTGTGTTGTAAGGTGCTAAAAAAATCAAAGCTTCCCCCCCAATCCACAGTAGTTGTGTTGTAAGGTGCTAAACAAATCAAAGCTTCCTCCCCCCCCAATCCACAGTAGTTGTGTTGTAAGGTGCTAAACAAATCAAAGCTTCCCCCAATCCACAGTAGTTGTGTTGTAAGGTGCTAAAAAATCAAAGCTTCCCCCAATCCACAGTAGTTGTGTTGTAAGGTGCCTTCTGTCCTGAAGGCTGCAGAAACAAAGATACTTAACATCAGTAACATTGAGTTTAGGTTTTCTGTCTCTTCCTTTCCTATTTTCCTGTCTCAGTCTCACAATCTAAGGTGTATTTAATAGTGTTTGAGGAGCATTTCAAGTCTCCAACAATTTGTTGGAGAGTCCAACTAGCATCATGTAAAGGTTTTATGAGAACTCTCTGCTCTACTGACAATTCTCTACGCTTTTTGGTCTGTGACCTCACAATAAAACTTAATATATAGTGTTAAACACTTTTTATCTAGGTTATTTGTGGTGTGCTATTAAACTGATTTCTTCTAGCATATACCAGTACCATATGCTAGCTTCTTTCTATATAGTTAAGACACTGCAGACTCTATTTCAGACTCTAAATTTGATCAGTATGTTCATTCAAGCAGAACCCTTATTACATGCCCTTGGTACAGGTATATGGGAATTCTAAAGAATGATAAGTATTCTCATTCTGGCTCATTCAGTTGTCAACAGGGATCAGTGAAGCATTACCAAAGTGTTGAAATTGACATTCTGTAAGAATTAGCCCCATAAAATGGAAAGATTGACAAAATATTATCATGTCTTAACACTTTTGCACAGTAGTGTATGTATAAATATATTTATTTTTTGAATGATATGTAGACAAAACATGTACAAAACATTTTTATGTAATATATATGTCAGATATTAGGAGTCTGTTTTTCTCAGATGGATTTGGTATCAAATGAACAAATAAAGGATCTTGTGATATAAATAATTTTAAATAAAAAGTAAAAAAAAATTATCTAGTTATATCTTTCCACTAAGGGCTGTTTAAATAACTTAGAACTAGTTGTATGTTAAACATTATTTGGTCATCTATAAACGATGAATTTAAATAAGAAGTTGTGTATCATTTTTACAGTATCCATGTACAGATAATTTTCAGTACAATTTGGAAACTGGAATATGAATTATTTTATATTATACGAGAAACTTTAGACGATGATTCATTTTATGATTGAATAAACTGTTTACTTTTGTTTGTTTGTAGTTAAGCACAAAGCTACAGAATGGGCTATCTGTTCTGTGCCCACCGCGGGTATCGAAACCCGGTATTTAGCGTTTAAAGGCTTACACTATTTATAACGAACTGTGTTTAAATTGTTTACTTATACACGTTATTAGAAATCCACGTTGCAAAGTTTCCTCCTTTATTTACATACTAATGACCCAGTCTGGCTAAAAAAAGAAGAATAGAGAGAACTCTGAGAATGAAAAATTAAACATCTATTTCTAATATAACCTGCGTTTGATTATGACAGTAAACGCTAACCTTCTCTTTAGTCTTCTGGGCCGAATGTATCCCAGGGTTAGTTTATTCGGACTGAGAATCCGAGGGTTAATTACTCGCGTCCTGTTGCCACGAGAAGTGAGAAGGGCCGTGGGTGCGTATTAACATTGATGATCACATCCCACTCTTGATGAGACAAAATAGGCAGATATAGGCAGTGGGATCTGTTGCCTAACTTTAGTATTTTGTCATGATGCAAATTCACTTGCTTTAAACTTATGGTTTGTTATAGGGAATAAACTAATGAAACATAAAATATGTTAATAAGAGCTGCTTTTGTTGTTGTTGAACAAAAATACAAAAGTTTTAACAATCCATCTTACCTGAGAGTTTCGTCTATGTCTTGTGTAACAGTAGGTAGTATTGTTCTAACCGTATTGACATCTTCGTGTAATCCTTGCAGTAAGTACCGCAAAAATTCTTGTGCGTCTTGTTGACTGTAAAGTAAAATAAATAAATAATGCCTCCATGTTAGTTTGGTCAGTATTTTCTATGTGTGTGAATATCACCGAAATAAATCGAGTTTTCAAGAAAAACAAAGAAATAGTGTACTCGCTACAAAGCTGTTTACGTTTGTAATAAAATATAAAATTACATCCAGTGTCTTCATTTCCATTTGGATAGTATTAATCGAGACACGTGTTACGTCTGATATGCATTTAAAAAATCACATTAGCTTATAGCATTATTAAATTAAATAGATGCGTGACTGTAGATACTCGCCTGTTACTTGGAAAACATGATGTAAAAACACGGAGTTGGCTATGGAAATCTTTCAAACAGGTTGGTACACTGCTGTTAGCTCTAGACATGGAGTGAACCAGTTTTGCAAACGCTACAGATAATGAAATATTTATCACTTATATAGCAAACTATGAAATTTCACTTAAAGTAGCTTACGAATTAAAAAAACAATCATTTATAAATATATGACGGCTATCACTCATAACCTCTAAGTTACCAGTTTTTAAGACAAACGTGCCTAGAGCGATATGTTTCGAACAATCGTATCTTATATTTTACTCCTACGCACTCTAGACACAGACACATTTACGAAAACTATCGTCATATCATTGTTTTGTTTTATAACTTTATAGGACAATGGTTAAAAAGAGTTGAAAATTACGTCGCAAGCTTTTCATTTCATTTATTTTTCAGGGAAAATATTTACAAGCGTCAAAACATAATTACGGGAGTAAAACATCACAAAGTTATTTGATTTGTGTCTGAATTTGATTAACTGTTGCGCTTTTAAATACCACTTTCCATGAAATGTTTATTTTTTCTCGTCTGCTCCTGGCCATTTTTGAAGTTCTTGTTGAAAACATTGTTATAGCATTTCTCCACTTTTTCTGTCACTTTTGAAATATACCTTGACACAATCACACGTAGAAGTTTTAAAGATGGCTTCGTCCTATCATGTTAGAAACGTCCTCTTCATGAAGCGAAAACAGGGACTGGTAAAAAACTGGGCTGTGTGGCAGACAGATTATCTAAGTTATTGCAGCAAGACCTAGTATTTATTTCATTAAACTGTAAAGATGGAATTCAGAAATGAAAAATGGAGAAAGTTTACAAAGTATGCACAGTGAT